AATAAGACTCAGGCTCCCTCATGGAAGCTCCGAGAAAGCACAAGGCAATTCCCAAGTGGCAGAACTCTCCAACATTTAAAGCTCCTGAACAGTAGAAGGGCATGGCCTGCTACCCTTCAGACAATGGCTTCTGGCCATGTGTTGAGGATGTCGTGGATAGCTCCACTGGGTGACAAGGTAAAATCGATAACCCTTCCAGGCACTTCCAACTGTAGGAGTCAGGGTCTGTCAGACTGTAGGTCACCAGCATTACAGCTCTTTCCGTGGATACTTGAAAGCTGGAATCCAGCCCATATCAAGTGATGCATGTGACGATCTAGCTGTCCAGAAGGACACCATTTTGTTATCGTGAAAAGGCACTCTATAGGCTTTCAACATACACATTCAGGGCTCTGAAGGTTGCTTCTGAGCAAGGATTCTGAATCAACTAACAGCCTCTGAAGCCCTGCCTTTTATATAAAGGTTAGAGCCAGGTGTATATTAGAAATGCCTCCTGAGAATGGCAAGCCCAAAGAGAAGCTTCCAGTGCAGGCCATCTTTGGCTCATTTCTCTGGATCAGCAGGTCACCCCACAGATAGAAGGAGAAAGGTATCAGGACCACTCATTTTTTTTAAACTCTCATTTGGAACTGTGTGTTTCATGTTATGATGGGCTTCCAAATCTCTGGGGCATCTTAAGCACTCTGGGAGGATCTCAGGAAACTCAAAACAGCCATGATGAGTTTAGAACATTCTTGAAGAATAAATGAGCACTGAAACTTTCCAAACTCTTTAAGGATCTTTGAACCATGCCTCATCAGGCATCCAGTGATGCTTGCTCATTGGTTCCTCTGCCAGTCTTTGGGTCACCAACAGAGCCTTTGGTGTTATTGTTCCAACATGTAAAGCACTGTTTCTTGGGTAGTAATAATGACAGCAACAGCAATAATGACCAGGATGCCAACAGTAGCTACATATGCTGACTCCTAGGAAATCTGTACAAATTTGCTTTTTCTGATCCTTCCCAAACTCTCCAGAGTAACATATTATTGTCACTCATTTTAATATGTGAGAAAATTGAGATTCAAAGAGTTGGACTAACTAGTTGAAGAGAGTAAACCCAACTAAAGGCTCCATTGCCGTAGAACCATCTATAGTAATGTTTCAAGCCTTCTGTTTTTTTCCTCTTCAGAATCACCTGAGCATTCCACTATATGATTTTATGGTTATAATTCACATAGGGCCTGCTGCAGCATCGTGTCCTGGGTTGTCCCAGTGCAAAGAGCCCTCTGAAGTCACCAGGTTCAGTTCAAGACCCAGAGAGTTGGGAAAAGAGATGACCATGGGCACAATTCTCCCTTCCGTCCCTTGGGCCCCTGCAGTGTTTTCTTTGCTCATTCTCTCTCATCTGCCCCAAATTTCATTATTTGAGCTTCTATAGGGTCATGTCTTCAGGACAAGGACTTGGTTTCGTTGACATAGTTTTGGGGGCCATTTTACTTCTTAATAATATAGAAATTGTAAGTCGTGGTGAAAATAAAAACCAGAGCATTTTCGTGCAAAGACAGGCACCGTGAACTACGAGATCCCTAACAAATATCTAAAGTCACTAAGGAGGCTTTGTTCAGTTTTCGTCTCTTTGAAAAGCAGAAGAATGATTGTCATTTTTTAAGATTACACACACATGCATACATGTAAACATGATTTTCTCACGCCGTGGGTTACCCAGTGTGTGATGAATTTGTCTATGGAGCCATGACCTCGTGAAAAGAACTTACCATTTTTTTCTGCTGAGACTACCTTAACTGCAGTGGGTGTGAATGGTGCTGTTATAATAATTAAATCCAAAATCTTTCATAATCCTCCTCTTTCCCTAGAGTAATGTTCAGTATTAGCTATGGAGAGAAAGGCAAACAAGTACATGTACATTCAAGAATAAAGCTTAATAGGTCAGTGAAGCAGCAGAATGAAATGAATGCCTGACACCTCCAGAGATAACGAATGGTGGTTTGCCTTCCTAGTTACTTCTTGACTTGTGTTTACCGGGACTTGAATATATGCATCAAATTGGCCTTTATTAATAACCAAATCCATACCCAGCTTGTTGCTTGGGGAGGGGGGGTGTTTAATGTCAATCGCTATGGAGATTGTTTGCCTATTTCCAAAATTGTACATTGGAAGGCTTTTTATTTCCGTGCTAGAATCACATAGAGTTGGTTGAAGGGTAAAATAACTGAAGAGTAGTCTGAAGACCATAAACCCATTTCTGTGTTCAGCTTTGAGACTTTGCGAGACATTGCCCGAGTCAGCATGGGTTACCATGAAGCTTACCTTGAGCCTGTTCAGCAAATGAAGATGAGAACAAAGTCTCACGAAGGCTTTGCTTGTGACTATTTGTTCGTGGTGTTAATGGTGTACATTATTTCTAACTGTGATGACGTGTTTCCAAACCTATGACACCCTGCTTTCATTTCGCACTTTCATAAAACATTTCACCTGCTTTAGTTGACATTATGTCCACTATGGCCACCACCCCATCAATGAGCTTAATTACCATCCCATTTAACACACGAGAGACACAAATGAAGTTCAGAGACAGTAAATGATTTTCGCAAGATAGCAGTTTATGATTAGCCAGCAGTTGAATCCAAATATCTTGACTCCATGTCCATATGTTTTGTGGGTTTTTGTTGTTGCTGTTGATTGTATTTAATATACCATCCTTTGTAAATTACACCTTCTGGGAAGACATTATATACTCTGGAGCTCTGGCTGGAGATGGTCTGAGCTCCATGTTGGCCTCCATGATTTCCTCGCTGTGTGATCATGAGAGGTTCCTTGCCTCTCTAAGCCTCAGTGTTTCAGTCTGGAAGATGGGGCTAATGATAGTTCCTCCTTCATAGGGTCCAAATTACAAGCTTCTGGTCAAATACTTAGCGCTTTCCTGATGCATAAATGGATCTTCTGAATGGAATGAATTGTTAATTTGTTTTGCTCAACACTTCTATGGAAATTAACTGTAGACATTGCCTACCTGTATTGAGATACACAGACACGCACACACACACATGGAAAATGAAGCACTTTATGACCAGCATAGGTAGTTTTAAAATATCTGGGGGTGCCTGGGTGGCTCAGTGGGTTAAAGCCTATGCCTTCGGCTCAGGTCATGATCCCAGGGTCCTGGGATCAAGCCCCGCATCGGGCTCTCTGCTCAGCAGGGAACCTGCTTCCTCCTCTCTCTCTGTCTGCTTCTCTGCCTACTTATGATTTCTGTCTGTCAAATAAATAAATAAAATCTTTAAAAAATATCTGAGTTCTGTAGCTTATGAGAATCATACAGTCTTCATTTGCCACAATGTGTTATGAAGAATTATTTGTTCACAGCCATTGACCCATAACTGCAAAAGAAATGGGAAGATACATTTTGTCTTCTTCTCTAAGATCTTCAAAACATCCATTAGTCTCATGAAGGACAGTCATAAATCCTGCAAGTTTAGTTCATCTGAAACCAACTCTAACACCTATCCTTCCCACCAATCATTCTTTATATCAGTCTTTGGTTTTCAGACCTCAGGGAACATATCCTGGTCTTATGTGGCTGAGCATGAAAGTGGGGGAGCCATGCATTCTTCGGAGATTTAAGAGTGGATACCCATACTGAACTGAACATTTTTCCAACATTTGAACATAACTTCTAAAATAATGTATTCCCTAATTTATCAAATTAGAAGTTGCCTTTTGTCTTCTGGCTTCCCTTCTGGAAAAGATACAACTATCTCTGTGACCTGGCACAAAGCACTTGGCGTCTCTGAATCTTTCTTCCCTTATCTGCAAAATGAGGGTGGCGGACTGTATCATTTCTGGGAAGACAGAAGTGAATAAGTGGCAACTACAGCCCATGCAGGGATGAGGGACTGGTGTGGGGACACTCAGTGGAGAAGGCAGTGCTGTGATCCAGCTGGAGCTGGGGTTGAGGAAGAAGGAAAAGTTGTACTTTTGGAAGTGGAGATTCTTTCTCAAAAGCTTTCGTGGAGAAGGTGGGATCAGCTGAGCTATGGAAGCAAAATAGGAATTTCAGAGTTGAAAAAGGAAATTCTAGCCTGGGAGCTGAGCCTGATTCAGCATCTGGAAGCAAGAAAGAGCAAAGCACGCTCAGAAAATGGTCATCCATCCAGGGAGGCTGGGACTGCCTTCCGTTTGAAGGCTGGGAACGAGGTCTAAAGTTGTCCTGAATACATAGAAATACTAACACTGATTGGCCTTTGAAGGCTGTGAGTATCTGGAATTTTAAAATAAGTCACTCTTCCTGGTGTGGCTTGAGTTTGGGGATAGAACAGGTGACACCATAGAAAACACATATTTTTCAAGTACCTTGCCTTAGGAGAGAAAGATTTCTCATCCGCATCAGGGGCTTACATCTCTTGGATCAAATTTTACAGGAAGCAATCGGTCGTATATCAAAAGATTAAGAACTAGACATTTCTCACTCAGGTATTTTGTGGCCACAGAGCTGCCACGGTGCAGAGGGCTCTGTGAGGCAGTAGAAGGTCACTGGGCCTTCTGCCTCTGTCATCCAGAGAGCCCCAGCAGGCTACAACAACAGCCTCTAGAGCTTGGGGCTGTTACCCTGGCCCAATTCTTTCATGGGAGACGCAGAACATGTTTTCCTGTAGAGATCTAGTGTCACGTTCCACTCCACAGTGATTGATCAGTACATTTATTACACTTTCAGTAATAAAAATATATAGACTCTAGTCATCTCTAGAGATGCTGAAATAGTCCTTTTTTTTCCCTTGATTTAGGGGAAGGTAGAGAGGGAAGATGTGTGCAGAGTATGACATAAATATAAGTGCTCAAATATCTAATTAGCTGAAAGAATCTTGGTTCCCTCTGCACCTTTGACAGAATTGCAGCTGTCAGATTGTAGCTCCAATATTTTATCCTCATTGCAAGATGTATCTGAGGATGATTTAGAAAAGACACTTTCTAACATGAACATCACCCTGCTTTTTTTGTAGGATGCTTGAGGACGACCTGAAGCTGAGCAGTGATGAAGATGACCTTGAGCCTGTAAAGACCTTGGCCACTCACTGTACCTCCACTGAGCTCTACCAGGTAGGAAGAACTTCACTCTTGGTTTGGGACCTCAGGGGAGGGAGCATAAAGGGCCGGGAGGGTTTTGCCATCTACCAGCCTACCCTCTGCTTCATCCCTGGGCTGCGGAGAGAGGAAAGGAAGCAAAGCTAGGCACTGTATTCCGGGACAGGTGGAATCAGCTCACAGTTTCATTTAAGCCACAGTGAGGAGAGGCTGAGCTCTTTAACATTGCTTTCACCCCCTCCCTCCGCTCCCTTGTCAAACACACGTACGGGTCATCAGTAAGCAAGAGCGTGTCCTTCCCTCCCTTGGACTAAGCATTGTCTCAGGTGAATGTAACTTTCCTTTAGTGATACCGGTGCGAGGCTTACAGCCCATGTTCATTAATTAATTAGGGCATAAATGCGATGCTGCATTCCCCTCTCCCAGGCCACCACTCGAGAGCACATGCCGAGAACCGGCACCCAGCATCCCCGTGGCATGCGCGGGACTGCAGGCACAAGGACGGTTGGCAAAAACTTGCCACTACACCTTCTTCTTCTACTCTGCATTATAAGTGTTGCCAACACTTCCCACGAAACAAGATGGCAGAAATGTGTTTTCAGCATTTCCAGTGAGACTGGACCTGTTGGTTGGAAAAGGCCAAGGGGTGGTTTCTGAACCGTGAGAATGGCAGTATAGTGTGTGCTCTGGGTGGTGTGTGTGCGCTTTCTCTGTGACACACCTACCTCACATGTAGGTTCCTAAAGGATATGTTTGTAACCTTGGGGGAGGATCACAGAAGGAGCGCTTTTGCTTTTAAATTTTTTTAAGATTTTATTTATTTATTTGAGAGAGAGAAAGAGAGAGAGAGAGAGAGCATGAAAGGAAAGAAGGTCAGAGGGAGAAGCAGACCTGAGCTGAAGGTAGTTGCTTAACTGACTGAACCACTCAGGTACCCAAGGAGGGCCTTTTATTAAAAGCCGGTACCTGACCAGGTTCTTTTTACAGTGGAGTCCACTGCATTAGAAAACTGAAAGCAGACTGTTTTAAGGAATGCTCATGCACTGGTATGCCAAGATCATTATCAAATGCAGAATTCCAGGGGCGCCTGGGTGGCTCAGTCATTAAGTGTCTGCCTTCCGCTCAGGTTCTTGGGATCGAGCCCTGTTGTGGGTTCCCTGTTTTCCCTGCTCAGCGGGGACTCTGCTTCTCCTTCTGCTCCTTACCACCCCCCAGCCCCGAGCTTGTGCTCTCTCTCCCCTCTTAAATGAATACATAAAATCTTTAAAAAAATACAGAATTCCATATTCACTAAATGTGTTATGAGTCATCAGCAAAGAAAAGCTTAGGAAAAACTCTCAGGGCTCACCTACTCCATTCTCATACATAGTTGTTCACCATATTGGAAACCCCAAAACTTGGTATAATTTTAAAATTGAAAAAAATACACAATACAATAAAATTGAGGTCATTTGCAATGTTATGTGGCCAACACCTGACTCACTCTTACTTTCTTCTCCTTTTTCCACTTGCATTTTTGTTAATATGTAACAGTTGCATCTTTGCACGGTGGGGCCTTGTCAAGATCAAGCCCCCATCATCTCACAGGGGCTTGCTGTCCCTTCCTGGATGCAAGCAGTCCATCTCCTATGTGAGCTATGGGCTTCAGAGCTGATGCAAAATGCATACTGAAATTCCAGGGTCTGTTATTCCTACTTTCTGCATTTACTATGCCAGGGACGAGCACGGCGTTGGTAAAAAAAAAAAAAAAAAAAAAAAAAAAACACCTTGATCATTGATTTTGACAGATGTGACATTACTTTTTAATGGAAATGTTTAAAGCAATAATCAACAATAACTGAAAATAGATTTTGCACATTGACTTCTTCTCTATGGGATTAAATAAACATGCTCTGTTTTTTCAGCTTCTCAAGTTGTTTTATTCTGTATTTACCTGAAGGAGTGGCATTTGTGGGTCCACTGGCCCCAGTCATCTGGGTTCTTAGGATGTGTGTTCGGTAACTCCGTGTCAGTCTTGGGACCATCAGATAATCCTGGTTGGTGCATTGGCTGCTCTCCATGGTGTGTCGCTCTTAGCCCAGTCATGCTTTCATCAACTGAGCTTCTCATCTGAAGCGGAGATTGAACTGGGAGATCCAAGTTAAGGCAGAATGACAACTTACCCCTCTTGCTGGGCCCTGGAAGCAAGAAGTAGCTGTGAGCTTATAAACATTTACAGATAAGCCCTCCTCGTGGCCCTCTTAAACTCTGATTGGAAGTCCCCTCTTTAGGAGCCATTGGTACCTAGACCTTGCCCTTCATTTTGGCTTTGGTGTCTATAGCGATCTGCTAGGAACAGGACTGAACGTCCTAACTGTCCCCATCCAAAGGCATTCACTGGATGTGAATGGCCTTTCCTTCCCTCTGACCTCTGACAAGTTTCAAATCAGAAGTCACAGGAAGAAAAGGCCAGGTTGCCAATGACAATGCTCCCAGTCTCTTCCAGGAAAATCACGTGGCTCTAAACAAGAGTTTCTCTTCAGAAACTGACACAGGTGGACAGCTGAGTCATCACCTTTTTATTATACTTCTTTCTTTCTCTCCCTCTGCCCTGGAGAAAGACAGGGCATGCTGTGATGCTATACTCATCATGGCTTTCTCTTGGACCTTCCCCGGTTTGGGAAATAATGCTTGAAGTCGACCTTGGACATTGGAATGTTTCAGAACAGGGTTCAATTGGGATACAGTGTTCTGTACTTAGCATCTGCATAAATATCCATATTGCAATGTGCTCCATTTTTCAAAGCTGGCTATCACTAACGCAATTGCTGCTCTGGGCATCACAGATCTAAAACCCCAGCCTGGTCCTCCACACCACGCTTACTGAATGGCCATTTGCCAGCCAGGCCTCTGGGGCAGGCAGTGAGGCCGTGGTGTGGCCACTGGCATTTGGATAGGGTGTATGTCACAGTCGTCCGGTCTTCTGCAGAGTGCATATGTGTGGGGTCCTCTGCGTGCCCTCACCTCATCCCACTGCACCTGCAGTTTTCCTTTGGGTCAAATGTGTCTTCGTGTGCTTCTTGGGACTTAGAGGACCCCTGAAAATGAGGGGTTAAACCTGGAATCAATTTTCATTTACAGCTAAGGAGCAGTTATTCATGCTGTACTGGCAGTTCAATGAAAGATCTAAAGATAGAGACCTTGCACTTCTCTTTCGATATAAGCAGCCTAATCAGTCTCAAATGTTTTCTTAACAAAGAAATTGTATTGACAGGTTTATTAAAATTGCTGCCTTTAAAGTTTTAAGCTATCCACAATTTGACCTATTCCAAAGACTTCTAGAATGTGTGGTGGCCAAACTCCAGAGCTCCCTCCAGCATATATCTGCAGAACCAGGTAAACGTCCACTTAACATTTCACTGACTGATGATCTTGATGTTGGATATGCGCAGCTCTGGCTCTGCGTCATCATACTCCACCAGCAAGATGGTCTGGGGGGCCCTGGGCTCTCAGGCCCTGGCCATCTCAGACTGGGATCAGAAGCAGCAGACTTTAGAATTACAAAGGCTGTAAAGAAATGGGTATTGTTCAAAACCAACTTCAGAGCATTTTAATTATTAATAATATAATACCATCTTGTTATTAATGTGAATTAGATGGAAATGTTAGAGGACTTCATTTAGCTCCATAGGAAGTATAGAAAGTGAGTATTGTGATGGGAAATGTTCGGTCAGGAACTAGGCTCAACTCTTGAGCCCAGCCAGAGCTTAGAGTGGTATTGGTGCTTTAAAAACAGAGCAGAATAATTCAGATTTGCTTTGAGCACAAAGGCATTCTAATGAGTTGTGTCTGGATATGTCGTTGCAAGTAGCCCCCTTGTTCCTCATTTTATTTAACTGGATCTTTTGTTCTTTTTCTGCACCTCACACATGTTAACATATACAGAACAATTGTGTCTTCTCTCCACTTCTTAATTGTATTTTTTCACTAAAGATTGCTCATTACCTCATATACACGTAGCTTGTTTTTAACCCAGGTTCTTGATTTGGATTTTATATATGATCTAGTTTTGCTTGCTTGTTCTTATTATTGTTGGGACAGCTCCCTGGCCAGGTCGTTCTGAGATCATATTGCAGATGAGCTGAACTCTATGGTAGCAGAAGTCTCAAACATTCTGGCCGCTTTGGGGGGATGTGTTCCTTATACCTGGGATGCCCCTTACACTTTCGAAACACAGTAGTCAGCTGAAACTCAAGCCCATGTTCACATTTAAAGTTTGCTAATGAAAACGATGCAATGCATTTTGCTCCTGCTCTCAGGTGGCTCTTGGAAAGCTGATGTGCTGTCGCGAATGCATTCGTTGTGACAACAGACACTCTTCCCTGCTGTAATCGGTCCTCTTGTTTTAGCTACAGTTATCCCTCATCATGCTGAACAAGTTGTTACCTCCCCGGGGTTTCTCTGTATTTCCATTTACTTTGTTATCAGCAGAAAGGCTGGGGAAGGCCCCCTTCAGCAATGACATCAACATGGCATACACAGCAAGAGAGGTCAGCCTGTCAAAGCCAGAGAAACAGCAGATGGATTAGGATGAAACCAGGTGCAAAATAACTTTGATAGAGTCTCTTAATGTAAACAGTTTATCTTTCATTGCCTTTCATTGAAACCCCCCACAAAATGACAGAGTTTGGGCAGTTAAGGCTGTGGAATATAGCTGAATAAAATCCGTACATTGTCATACTCCAACTATGCAGCAATTAGAGAATGAGAGGACATTTTAATTTATTCATTAAAGACAGGAAAGTAAATAGGATAACATATAAGGTTAATAGAATAACATTGGCCTTCATATTCCCAAGATTGTGTTTCCCATTTGGCTGTATTAGCATAGAGACTAGATTAATAAGAAACTGCTTAGGGCTTGTATGATGTGATTTTTAATATGCTCCAGGCAGGTCTGTGACTGTTTAGAAACCCACGTGCTGATTTTTTCATTGTAATTAGCTCTTCTACTTTTAGTACCAAATATTTTGACT